GTTTGAGCCCCACCTGGGCAACTTGGCTAGACCTCCTCTCTACAATAAATCAAAAAAGAAAAGTAGCCAGATGTGGTAGCATGTGCCTGTAGTTCTGGCTACCTGGAAGGCTGAGGCAGAAGCATCACCGGAGCCCAGCAGATCGATGCTGCGGTAGCCAGGATCATGCCACTGCACTCCAGTCTGGGCAACAGAGTGAGACTCCAACTCAAAAAAAAAAAAAAAAAATTCCAGAAAGAAGAACTAACTCCTGCCTGGCAGGGACCATTTCTCATCATCCTCACCACTCCAACAGCAATCAAGGTCGATGGGACACCAGACTAGATTCACCACACCCAAATCAAAAGGGCCAGGGAAACTGACCTAACTCCACCAGTTCATGTGACTGATTGTGCTGTGGCAGCAAGGGACCCCAAATATCCACCCCCTCATTCAACAAGGGAAAAACAGCCACAGTTCAGTCAACTGAACTGCAACAAAGGACTCCAAGAATCCTCTCAAGGTCACCTTTTGATGTACATCTAAACCATGGGAATCAAACAGACTGGTTGCTAATTTCATTTTAAATGCATTGTCAGACAAAAGTAAATGTTCACCAGAAATGATTCACATTACTCTAGATAATGTAACTGGTAAAGCCTCCTGCCTTATAACTCCAGGTTTCAATCTAACAACTTCTCTGTTCTCTGATATTTGTAACTTATCCCTCACCCTAATCATGGCCAAATCCATGGCCTATGTGGCCCCTGCCAACACCTGGTTAACTAGTTCTACAGGTCTTACAAAATGTGCTACTACCAAAAGGTTAATTAACCAGTCTACTTTATGTGTTACTGTTCATGTTCTACCTCAGGTTAATGCTTATAGGGGTCCTGAAGGAGCTCTTCTACTCAATCCCTCTGGTCTTCCAATTGCTCGTTCAAAATGTGCTGTTACCTTGTTAGTACCAGCCTTACTTGGACTCAATGTATCAGGAACAGCTGCAATTGGCACCACTGCTCTGGTTTGTGGAGAACTGGGTCTATCTAACTCTGCCCAAGAAATTGATGCTAACCTAGGAAATCTGCAATTTGCCATGGACCAACTCCATGACCAGGTAGAATCCTTAGCTGAAGTCATCCTTCAAAATTGTACAGGCCTAGACTTACTTCTTCTATCCCAAGGTGGACTCTGTGTAACCCTTGGAGCAGCTTGTTGCTTTTATGCCGACAAATTCAGGGTTATTAAAGATACTCTTCAAAAAGTCCCAGAAAATTTAAACAAATGACAAAAAGAAAGAGAACATAATAAATCCTGGTTTCAAGCCTTGCCTGACTGGAACCCATGGTTAACAACTCCTGTTACTGGTCTAGTTGGACCCCCTGTATTTCTCCTTGGTTTGCTCATAGGGCCATGCATAATAAATTGGATTATTCATTTTGTCAAACAATGAATCAATTCTATAAAACTTATGTATATGAGACCCCAGTATAATAATATACTTATGACTGATGAGTCAACACACTGACTCATGAACAAGTAAAAGGGGGGGGATGAAATGAATAAAATATGAAATATCACATCTGAAATCCTATAATAACCTGTAATAGCTAGCTTGACATAAATAACTCCATTTTGTAACAGATCTTCCATGTCAACCTAGAAATAAGCCCCTTACGTAACCTTCCCATAATCATATCACATACCCACATTCCTGTGCCCTTCAGTCTTGGAAACTCCCCAGGTGTGCAAATTATGAAGCTATCTTCACAATCAAATGTTTTGCCAAGAAATATGAATCAAACTGTACAACTTATGTAACCTCTACCTTTATAACCCCCCCATGCACTTTGTTCGGGGCCGAGAATTCTTTGGACATTAGTCCGCTCTCGGTCACCGGCGTCAATAAAGAACTCATAATTTGACCCTCTCTGCATGTTGGCATCATTTCTCACAATCCAGCTATAACAGTTACACATGCTTCAGCCATGAACCTAGAGACGAATGAGGAAAATAAATCTTTTGTCCCTGATGAGGGATATGGGCATTTTCCACAGAATGAATACGTTAGCTCAAGAAAAAAAGGGTCCACCTACTAAGTAGAACTGGAGAACAATAATGAGGGAAGTACCTTCCAGGAAGTACTAAGCAGCTATCTTTTTACTATCAATTCAGATCCTCAATGGGAGAGTATTTTCCTATGTATCAATATTTATTTTCTATGACTATCTTCCTCTAATCACAGTTGAAATGTTACTACTTTTCAGTCTGAGAAGAATGGCTCTTTTAATTCAGAAAGTACAGTTCTCCTAGTTCGGTGAGTTCTGTTACTGCTCTTTTAGTTCAGCAAGTTCTGTGTTCTTGTGGAGGAGCCCCCAAGAAATGTTTCAGTTCTTAATGTTACAGCTCTTTTAGTTCAGCAAGTTCCAGGTTCTTGTCTAAGAAGAAAGAAAAATAAATAGCATGGACACCAAAGAGCAAGTAAGTCAGAGTTTATTAAGCAACAGGAAAGCTCTCAGGAGTGAAAGGAGACCCAAAAGTGGATTGCTTGTGAAGTGGCAGAGTTCAGGGGTATTTATGGGCTCAAACTGGGGAAGTGCATGCTGATTCGTTGGCAAGTGGGCTTGAAAATGCACCACTCAGAAAGAGGAACAATAATGCAAAGGACCAATCGGGAGAGGACAGGGTAAGGACTAATTGGGGGACAGCACACCAAAAGGAGATGGGAGTGCTCTCCTAAGTTCATGGACTTCATCTGGAATTTGGTGCTTGGCTCCTCAGGTACCAGGCCACTCTTGGTTTGGGGAAGTTTTACTGGGTACCCCCCAACTATCTGCCTGACCAGTTTCTTCCTTCCTCCTCTCTCACTACAAAAACATTCAACTTTTCTAAGTTGTTGAATAGATTTTTTAATAAACATAAACTTTGATCTTCTCCTTTTTTGTCTTTTTTCTGGAATAAAACAATTAAACATTGATTATAAAAATTATTGATAAACTAGAAAAGCAAAATCCTCATTATTTCAAGGCAGTGTCAGGGAGTGGGGAGAAAACTGTGTATTCAGAGCAAAACACCCCCTGTTAAAGCTTAATGTAATAAATAGGTAGCAAGCAAACCAACCTAAGAAAACAAACAATGACCTAATCCATATTTTCAGTAAAATTTGATGAAAAATTGCATCCATAAAACAATATGGTCTTCCAAGAAAAAATGAGCAATCCAAGAGAGACTTCTTAGAATTGAAGGTACTTTTTATAAACTGAAAATTCAGTTAACTGAATCAAAAGGTAGATTGAATATTGCATCAGTAAATAACTGAGATAACTGCATTAAAAATGCTGAGTCAGTATGGTCACTGTCATGTATATTAAGCTAATATCGATACTAGTGCTTGCTCCCAGAATTAAGTCTTGAAAAATAGCATCTTGCTAAATAAATATCTATTTTGGTAGAGTAACTAGAATGAGTGTTAGACCAGGAAAAATAAACTCAGAAGTACCTGAGTTATATGTCCAATGTGACTCTTTGGAAAGTTCATATAAATAAATGAATAAAGAAAAAAAGTAAGCATATCAAAATACAGAGATAAATAAATACATAAATTAAATGGAAAACAAGATATTTAAAAACAAGTTAAAACATTTACTCAGGACCATTGCAGGAAAAAAAGTAAGTCTTCAGAAGGTAAAAACATTTCAAAATAACTTCCCAATTAAAAAAAAAAAGTCACCAAATGTCACCTCCAATTTGGATGTTACCTTGGGTCTCTTTTCTCCCTTTCTCCTCCCCCTTTTCCCATCTATTCATTAATCAGTTAAATACATACTGAACATTTAATATATTCTCAGAAGCATAGATACAAAAAAACGCGTGAGACCCAATCCTCATCCTAATTGGTTTCACATTATGTTTGAAGGAGAAAGACATGCACAAATTACTTAAATTAATTTAGTATTTTTTAGATTGGGCAGAGCACTAAAATTTGCTTAGCTTTAGTCATAGCACTTACTGGTCTTTAATTTTACATAACATAGTCATTCACAGCTTTCCAACCTTCCCTGCCAGGGATACCTAGCTCCCAGTTGCCCAACCCATGCTCCTTCTTTCTTCTTTGCAACTTTGCTTTTAATATAAGCTGCCACCAAATGGGCTGATACCTGGTGGGTCTCCAGTGACGTCCTTAACCCAGAGTGCAGAGTATCTGCTCTTACCAGGACTTGCCTCCACAAACTTTTAGTCTTCCCTTTAATAACCTCTGAAGTTTGGAATTTAGGATGGGAACTGTAAACCATTCCATATAAATTAAGCTTTAATGGCATTATGAGAAATATAAAAAGCAAAGCAAGACAAATTAAATAAAATAATATGAGACATTTGCCTAAAAGACTCAAAGATACAGAGCGTCCTGGCAATTAATTTTAAGTGGAGGAAAAATAACTTGACATTTCTTTTTTCTCAGGAAGTCAGATTGTAATGAGAACTTAAATTGGCAGAGCCAAAAAATAATCCTGATTTAGAAAGATCCAGGGAAAGGATTTCATTTAGGGTAGTGAGAAGAGAAAAATAATAATAAATGAATGCAACCAGAAAATGGGTTAAACGATAACAAAATGGAAGAAACAGTATAGAAAATATACACAGGGATTTTGCAATATGGAAGGAAACCTAGAAATAATGTGGAAAAAAGAAAGAGTAATTCAAAATGCAAGTAAATAATTAGTTAAAAACATACTAAAACTTGGTCTCAGGGTGATATCTAAAATTTATTTCACTGAATTTTTCTAATTGTACTTTTATAAAAGAAGCAGGTGTGATATTTAGTATTTGAAATTATCATTAAAAAGGAAGGAGGAAAAGAACACTTTTTCAAAAAAGAGATAGGCACAGAAAACTTACAAATAGGCTAACTTTACTGGGAGAAAGAGCCCTGGGGTCCAATGAAATAAACCAGAAAAGGCAGGGATGAGGTAGTTGACCAAGGACTTTGAGTACCAAACTTACCATTTTCCTTTAGACTGGAGGAAATAGCTTCAAAAGACCCTTGGACAGTGGTGTACCTTTGAAATAGATTTGCCCTGTTATAGATAAAACTGGAGAAACATTGGAAAAGATACAAAAGCATTAGGAGGCAAAATACTCACTCTGAATACAAATATTAATAAGTGTATATTTGAGGATTTCATATTTATATAAAGGATATATTAACAACTAATCCAATACAGTGTAAAATAAACTATAAATGAGGTTTTACAAAATGTTTGGGGAACCTGGACGTTTACATAATTTAGGGGAGTGGAATCAAGTAATGTATATAATTTAGGGAACTTCTTAAGCAAAATAAATACAAAAGCACAAATACAAAATTGTTAGGTTCCCACCCAGTGCCTTGGAAAAGGCTGGTGAAAATGAGAGGCTGCGAGTAAACCCTGAAGTTCAAGCTTTGTTAGTTTCAAAGTAAATTCACTTGCAATAAATTCACTTGTGGAATCCTTGTGTGGTAAATAATGGAGATACATGAGAAAGTGATAAATGAAAACAGATTTCCTGTAGTTTATGATCACACTAAACCAATATGACTTAATCAAAATGATTTAGCAAAATCAGGGAGAGGTAAATGAAGTGATGGTGCCATCTGCTGCTTAGTTTTAGGAACTTCAAAGCTCATTAGAGGAAGTTAATCTGTTTTATTAATTTGGGAGTAAAGTTGAAGAATTTCTACAGGCTTAACCTGCCATAATTAATACGTCACTTTCATTCTGCTGAACGGCATCTATATTTACTTATGCCTAAGAAATTACTGTTGTTAAGGGTTACCTTCTGTTATGAACACCTATTAGATTCCTTAAATAATTATCATTTGTTTATTTATTTATTTATCTATCTATTTATTTATTTATTTATTGGAGACGGGGTCTTGCTATGTTGCCCAAGCTAGTATCAAACTCCTGGCCTCAATCAATCCTACTGCTTTGATTTCTCAAAATTCTGGGATTACACACATGAGCCACCAATTCTGACCACTTATGTTGTTTTTATTTTAAAATTTCTGCCACCATAATTTCCCAGATAGAAAAAAAATGTAAGTTAATAAATAAAATTATACATGTAGCTATTTTTAATTTGATTGTTTATTTTCTTCCTCTATACCAGACCATAAGCACTATGAGAACAGCCTTTATGTGTATTCACTATCTACCCTACCCTATTAGCATTAAAGAAAGAAGGCATTCTAAATAGTTATTAACTGAATAAATTGATAATTGAATGGCAAAAGATGAGGAAAAAAATTCTAATCCATATATCTTTGTCAAAGCCAATTATAATAACTTGTATAAATAAAAATATTTGGAACTATTATGTTGGTATCTAAGTTATTGAAGTATATAATCGGCCTTTTAAAAACTGCATAGTAGGCATCTCACATCATTTTCAAAATATAAACACATAGCCAGCAGAATATAACACATGGTAGGCATCCCACATCATTTTCAAAATACAACAAAATAATATGATAGATAGACATGAGATTTAGAAAATTTGCTTATTTTAATTTTTTTTAATATTTGGGTTTGTCATAAATAAATGGTAGTGCTTTGTAAGCATATCTTAGTAAAGAGCTTAGAAAAGCCAAATGATTTGACATTTATGAGTATATTGGCGTAGAGGCCTGCTGTCAGCATTATAGGGTGCTTTAGTGAATGTAAATTATTTATTTTACTATCGATTGTTTATTCTCAGAGTTGAATTATAAATGACGTCATCTGTGCCACTAAAGGAACAAGGGATGATATGAGGCATGTGACTTTTCGCTGGCGGACAACATGGACCATTAAGTTTAAATATGTTGTAACCAAGGGTCAGTTTAATAATTGCCAAAGCTCAGATTTCTTTATGGTCCACATGCAAGTCAGATGGATAATGTTCCTACACAGAACTCCATGTTTTCCAACTGTTTCGGTGCCTTGAACCTTCTCATTCTTCTCTGATTTTTTAAAAAATTGTTCCCAGGAAACAAGGGGTTCTGCAATATTTTGATCTACTGCCTCCTTTGCAGTTCTTGCCCCGGTGAGGTGAGGAAGTTCATGAAGAAATAGGAGCTGAAAAGATTTGGGAAGTAAATGTAGATGCAAAGGAGGTACATTTGGAGATACTAAAATATAAGAATCAACTATTTTAAATTTGCTCATTTTACTTGCTATGTTTGAATAATTTTGGACAAATAGATTCAGAAAGGTATATGTATTCTGCCAAACCAGAACAACCTAAGGTTTGCTGTATGAAATACTCTAAGGTAATCCAGTATTTGAAATTATACTCACTTATACACCATCTATTTTTATTCTGGCCTGAGTGTCTTGCAGAAAAGTAAACCACAAAAAAGTTGTCCAGGAGCAGTAGCTTACGCCTGTAATCTCAGCATTTTGGGAGGCTAAGGTGGGAGAATTGTTTGAAGTCAGGAGTTCAAGACCAGCCTGAGCAACATAGTGAGACCTTGTCTCTACAAAAAAAAAAAAAAAAAAAGCCAGGCTCGGTGACTCAGCCTGTAATCCCACGCCTTTGGGAGGCTGAGGTGAGTGGATTGCCTGAGCCCGCGGAGGCGAGACCCGCCTGGGCAGCGAAACCTCATCTCTACAATAAATCAAAAAATCAGCCGGGCATGGTAGCGCATGCCTGTAATTCTGGCTACTTGGAAGGCTGAGGCGGAAGGATCGTTGGAGTCCAGCAGGGCGAGGCTGCGGTGGCCGGGAGCAGCCACTGCACTCCAGGCTGGGTGACAGAGTGAGACTCCAACTCAAAAAAAAAAAAGAAAGAAAAAAAATCATAGTGGTGCAATACTGCAGTCCCAGCTACATGGGAAGCCAAGGAGAAAGAATCACCTGAGCCTAAGGTGTCAAGTTTGTGGTAAACCATGTTGGTACCCCTACACTCCAGCCTGGGTGACAGAGTGAATCTCTTACTCAAAAAAAAAAAAAAAAAAGTGCCAAGTGCCAAGTCAGAGCATGCTGCACAGCACACTATTTCAACAACAATGGCAAAAAAATTCTAAGCAATGTTTAAAAACACAATTAAAACTAAGTTAACACTAAATTAATATGCTCTTTATGTTATTTACTCAATATGCTGTAAGAGCTTAAGAATCTATTAACAAAAACAAAAATATTTTTGAACTAATAGTATGAATAGCTAACATTTATTGAATTCTTACTAAATTCTCAGCACTATAGGAAGGACTACATAAACATTATCCTATTAAAGCCTCGAATATCCATGAGGTAGCTACTCGTATTAATCTCATCTTTCAGTTGAAGAAATCAAGGCATCAAGAAGGCAAATAACTCACCTTAGATGACAAAAATATTCAGTAATTGACTGGGATTTAAACTCAGACAGTCCAGCTTCAAATTCCTTGTGTTAAACCATCATGTTTATTTTCCAATAAAGAAATACATGCATCAACATTATTTACATCAGGAGTCAGCAAATTTTTTTCTGAAAAAGTTGAGAGAGTAAAAATTTTAGAATTTGCAGACCATTTACAGTCTTTGATGCGTATATTTTTTAAATAACACTTTAAAAATGTAAAAATCAGAGAAGTGGCAAGATGGCGACGGGGCAACCCGGTCTCTGAAGCCCTCTGCAAAGGAGATCTGCAGTGGGTCTCTGACTCTCGCCCCGGGGGGCTGGGGACCCCAACATCGCAACATGCTCTTCATACAGGGTTCGGCCATTGCCACCGCTGGGACATCGCAATGGACTGGACAGTTACTGCTGCGCAAACAGAGCCCCTCCCCCCACCGCCACTGCCATCACCACCGCTGCTATGGCCTCTGTGACGGGTAGCACATCACACCACCCGGCCCGAGGCGATCCATATCAAACCCCTTCAGGGAAGATCTGCTGGGATAGCTGCCACCTCTCCTGCGACAGAGACTGTCCTACCCACCTGGTGTAAGGCTCCTGTTGCTTGCTCAGAGGCAGGCAGCCATCTTGTTCCTGTCCGGCCCCACCCCCTCTGGGGCAAGCAGCTGAGATAGCACCACCTGCTGGCAATTCAAGGTAACAACACTGAAACGGGAGAAACAACCTTGATAAAGACATAGACCAAAGTGCTGAACAAGGGTAATCTGAACTGTCCTTCACAGCAGACCAGGGGCAACTGACCCTAACTGCAAACTAATTTACCAGCTTGAAAAGAAAACTAGAAATCAGACCTGAAAGGACATTGGACTTAAACGAAATGTCTCAGAGTGTGCTTCATTGATTCTATTAGTTTAATGACTTAATTCTATTCCTATTGTATTGTTCCCTTTTTTCTTTTTTTCTTTTCCTTTTGTTCTTCTGTAAACCATATCTTTGTATACAGGAACAGCACACTAACAAGGTGGTTGGTTAGCTTGTATGTTAGCATCACTATATGTTTTATTTTTATTTTTTATTTTTTTGTATGAGAGTTGGTTCGTCTGTAGCTGTGGTCTATTGCTTTTATCTGTTTCAGTATAGGCCTCTCTCTCTATTTCTTGGCACACTCGTTTGTTTTCCCCCTTATTCCTCTATCTCTCCACTCCTCTCTTCAACCCACTATCTGCTCCATTCTCTCCCCTCTGCTAACCACATTTTATTTCAGGGAGTAAACCTACAGCCCCACTGCATGGACAGATTCCAGGGCAGTGGGAAGTGGGTTCCACATTATCCACACACCTGTCAGCGAATACCAGACCTGCAGACAGATTTTGAATCACAGTTCTCCCCTTAAGTAAATCTGAAAACTGCAAAAAGGACCACCTCCAACCTACACTGCAACTTCAGAATTGAACAAAGTAAGAGGACATACATAAAGAATAGGAGATTGAACAAACAGAAGTAAAACCAATCCCTTTATCCCTGAATAACAGAATTAAAGAAGATGGTGACGTGGAGGGAAAGAAAAAGAAGGGAGGGGGAAATACCACACAAATGAAGAAAAACCAAAAAAGAATATAGGTCTTACACAGACCCCTGGGAAATCAGACACTGAGAAAACAGATTCTGGAACAAAAACAATGAAGAGTTCCCAGAATGACTGGTTACATGCAACAAACCCAGACATCAAGACATTAATGGAGAGAATTTAAAAAATTGAGGAGAGACAAGAGGAAAATAGGAAGGAGCTAAAGTCAGAAATGACAGCAGTAAAGAATACTGTGATGGAAATGAACAACAGACTAATAAGCATGGAAAGCAGAATCAGCCAAGCAGAAGAAAGACTCTCAGAGCTCGAAGACCAAAACACAGAACTAACCCAAACTGTCAAAAGCATAGAAAAGAAGCTCAAAACGACAGAACAAAACCTGCAAGAGACGAATGATCACTTCAAGAGACCAAACCTAAGAGTAATTGGGCTTC